CTGAATGTTTGAGAAATCGGTCCGGGCTTTCGTCTCATCCCATTCACGGTGAACATTACTTAGCCGAAGAAAGGGGCTTGGCAGGGTGCAGTAGGTTGGCAGGTGTGCGTGTCCCCAGGACCCAGGGACTCGCGCGACTGGTGAGAGAGGGTTTGAAGCTCATGACGGTGGATTCTCTCCCCGTGTGGTTTGAGACTTCACTGGCCGTCCCTTTTCCAGCCCAGCTCATCTTTCTCTTTTGTTCTTTTATTTGTTTATTTATGTATTTATTTTTCAGCTGTAGACATCGCATAAACAGTTGGGGAAAAGGGTTAATGACATACACCATGTTGTAAGCGATGACAATAAACTGGTTTGAGCCCCCAAAGTAGGTGTGAGTAGTGTGAAGGAAGAGGAGAGAAAAGTTGTGCAAGTAGATGATTGTTTTTGTTTTTGAGAGACTGAAATACCGAAGAGAATTAGCTCCGATCGTTTTGTGGGGTGGGGTGGGACTTTAAGATGAAGGAACTCGCCCCCTTATGTTCGGTGGCACCGTCCGATTTTCAGATTTTTCACTTTCGGGTTAGAGGTCTGCTCAGTTCCTGCCTTAAGCTTCTCCTTCCGCTGCCCCCCTGAAATCCCAGAAATGACTCCCCGGGTAAGGCTTAGCCGGGTCTCGCGCCTCTAATATGACTCCAAAGAAAGACGGGGCAAAAAGAAACTGTGGAAGGTGTTTGGCAACGAGCGAGCAAGGAAGCTCACTAACCCTTTGAAGGTCAATTAGCCAGAAAATGTGCTAAAGACGGTGCCGCACGGGATTACTGGCCAGAATTACCCCCAAGGTCCTCAAAGTGGGCCTGCCTTTGAGCACAGACACTCAATTACAGACCTGGAGGAGATGCTACAAAAGCTTTAATTAAGGGACTTACTTACACCCCACTAGGTTTTGGAAATTGAATTCTTATTTGTGCTGAACTGCTGGTTCTTTTGTCCGGGTTTCCACGTGTGTTTCAGCAGAGAACGCTGTGTTCCCGAAAGCTGTGTTAAGCTCTCCCTGCTGGTGGCTGCCAGCAAAGTGGAAGGTTTAAGCAGTGGGAGGGGCTCCGTGGGAAACGGAGGGCTTGAGGGCTTTCTGCCGGGCTCCTTGGGGACCGTGTGTGTGGCGTGCACCTCGTAGCATTGGCGTTGGGGGTGCGGGGAGTGTTCGGGGGCCCAGAGTGTGCACTGTGCATGCCGGGGCTCCGGGTTTAATCCCCTGAGATTTGCAGAATTGTTCCCTCCAGCCCCCCAAAAGCACATGTGAGCGTACACGGGGATTGGAGGGGAACAGGGGGGATGTACTTGGTAGAATTTGAATTTCAGGCAGGGCCTTTTTTTTTCCCCCCCTCTCTTTTGGGTTACACCCGGTGACGCTCAGGGGTTACTCCTGGCTCATGCACTCAGGAATTCCTCCTGGCGGTGCTCGGGCGACCATATGGGATGCTGGGAATCGAACCCGGGTTGGCCTCTGTGCTCCAGCCCCAGGCAGGGCCATTTTTAAGCAGCCTTCTTTCCTGGGCTGAGCTGGCTCTGCTGTCATCCTCCAGTGGCGCTGCCGCCTGTTGAGGTGTTAGCAGTAGCGTGGCGTGGTGGCTGGAACCAGTGGGGAGGGCGTTTGCCTTGCATGTGGCCGCCGCGAGTTCGATCCCCTGCATCTCCCCTGAGCACCTCCAGGAGTAAGCTCTGAGCATGGCCGGGTGTGACCCAAAAAGGGAAAAATAAAGGAAAAAACAGTAGCCAGGGCTTTCCCAGCCTGGACAAGGAGCGCCCGCCCAGAGGGGAGTGAACAGGAGTGAGTTCTTGCCTTGGGACTGCCAGTGGTCTGTTCCCAGTGCAGTAGGGGCGGGGTGCGGGGGTGGGAGATGCGCCCCTCTCCTCTCCTCTCCCTGCCTTTGATGCCTCCCTCCTGCCTGCCTGAGTTTGGCGTGGACCGTAGAGGTTTTTAAGAAGCACCAAGAGTGGCTGGAGTGATAGCATAGCGGATAGGGCATTTGCCTTGCACATGGCCGAACCGGGTTCGATTCCCAGCATCCTATATGGTCCCCAGGATTAATTCCTGAGTGCAGAGCCAGGAGTAACCCCTGTGCATCTCTGGGTGTGATGCAAATGAATGAAGGAATGAATGAATAAATAAGCACCAAGAAACGCCCATGTTTGGGTGACGTCTCTTGTCTTTCTGCCACCTCTGGTGAGCAGGACCTTCCTGGGTGCCTCAGGCCGTTTCCTGAGCCTCCTTTGGTGCACGGCACCTTCCCTGCTCCAGCCTTGCTCAGGGTCGAGGAGTCCTGGGGGAACCACTGCAGTGGTCTGACTAGACAGGAAGAGAGAACCTCCAAAGGGACCCCCAGAGCATTCAGGGTAGCTGTACGGATTTCAGCAAGCTGGAAATGGAAAGAAATCTTACTTGGGGGGCTGGGGGTGGTGGTGAGGGGTGGGCGAGGGTGCAGGCCAGTCTTGGGGACGCCTGCCCCTTTTGGGGCGGCTGCCCTTTCCAGAAGCAGCTCCTCACGTCCAGGTTCCTCCTCCCGGAGCAGAGTCGGGAGCCAGATGCAGATGCGGCCCTGTCCTCCTCATCCCTGAGGGTTCCTGCACGCTTGGGCTTGCCGAAAGTTTGATGGGAATGTCGGCTCTCCTTGCTTTCCTTTGGGAAACGGAAAGGTTGCCTTTGGTCGGTGTGTGGTCACCTGACCGATGGTGGGGTGTGGGGACCTCGGGAGAGGTACAGGTGGCATCATTCTCGCCAGCTCCGGGAGAACTGAGTTCCGCGGGGAGGTGCTGCTTCCCAAGTTGTTTGGGGAAGGAGAGAGTTGGAGTTCTTATCTCGCCGGCCTTGTTTTGCCAACATGGTCAGGGCCAGCACATCTGGCTTCCATTCGGAAAGAGTCTGGTTTTCTGCTTCAGCAAAAAACGAATCCAATCAAATTGGAATCTGAAGATAGATTAAAAAAAAAAAAAAAGGAAGGCCGGGGGTTGAGGGGCAGCGAGATTTCCTACCCGTGGCCGGGGTTATCGCAGAAGGCCCTGAAAACTTCCTCTCGGAAGGGCCTTCCGCAGCCAGTCCGTCGCAGGCCTCGGGTCTCCAGCATCCGTGTAGGAAAGGGCGAGGGGTGCCTCCCTTCCAGGGGGTCTTGGCTGCAGTGCTTTCTCCCGACACCTCCTGCAGCTTCACTCTCCGTTGGCGGACTTCTTTTCCTTGGGCTGGGGGCAAGAGGGTGTGGCTTTGCCTCTATGTCCCTTTTTTGTTTGTTTGTTTGGATCAAATTAAACTTAAAATCTGATTTTAATGAGATTTGTCAGTGCCTATATCTCACTCAGGCCCTGCCTCCAGGCTCCTATGCGGGTGTCAGGCTTCCTGCAGTGTAGTTTCCTGGTTGTTCATCCACATTCGGTATGGCCATTGAAATGGACTGGGCTGCTCTCGTTTAGTAGACTGGAGGTCCTGTGGCAGACAGGTGTGTGTGTCTGTGTGTCTATATGTCTGTGTGTTTGTATGTGTGTGTGTGTGGGGGGGGTGTCTGTGTCTGTGTGTTTGTACGTGTGATGCGTGTATGTGTGTCTGTGTATATCTGTGTGTTGGCTCTGTGTGTTGGCTTATGAGTGAGAAGGTTCTGTGACAGGTGTGTGTATGTGGGGGGGGGGTTGTGTGTATGTGTGTGTGGGCTTTTCAGTGAGAAGGTTCTATGACAGGTGTGTGTGTCTGTGTGTGTGGTGTGTTTGTGGTGTGTGTGTGTTTGTGTGTGTGGTGTGGTGTGTGTGTGTGTTGCCTTTGAGCCAGCTGCCAGGGCCTGTGTATGAGCAAAAAGGTCCCTGAGGAGCAGGCACGACAGTCCTGTGTGTCACGGTCCCATCTCTCCTGTCTGGTTGGCTGGGACAGCTCAGTGGTGGCATGCAGCCCCCCCCCCCTACACACACATACAGACACACACACACATCTTCACGCCGACCTTGGAGCCATCAGTGGGTCAGCAGTTTGCCCTCCCATAAATAATGCACCGCTGCTGGGTATTTATAGTTCTTCCTAGTCAAGGTTCTGCCATCAGCCTGGAGCCGAGAGCGGGGAGACAAGTGAGTCAGCGTGTTGGGGCGCTGGCGTGGAGGGCGGGCACTCGGGGACTGCGGGGCACTGGTGAGCGGAGGCCGCTGGGGGGGAGGGAAGGAGAGGGGAAGGGCTACTCAGTGCCTTAGTGCTCCTTGACCTCAGGTCCTCGAGCCTGCTCCAGGCCTTGGCCTGCGAACGAAGAGAACTTTCTCCCCACCCTGAAGTCAGGCAGAGCTCAGCTTCCTTGTGTGGGGAGGGTCGTCCACGCTTCCAGTTTCAGTAAACGGGGGTCCTGTGACAGACATGTTTTGGGGGGGGCGCCCCCAAAAGTCCCAGAAATGTCAGCTGGTTCCAGCTCTGCTGGTCGAGGACGGGCCCATCCTAGCTTCCTCTCTGCAGCAAGAGAGAAAAGATGAAGCCTTGCAGGGTGGGTGACCTCGGCAGTCATCCGTGGCTGGGCGAGCCTCTTCCACACAGCGGACACCCTGCAGGCCCCCGCGCACCTCCGGGCAGTTCCCTCCACTTTCCCTCATTTTAGTGGTCTCCCCTCCCCCAACACACACACACAGGCACACAGGTTTTCCTGGTACTTTATGGGTGCCATAGCAAATGTTTCAGTTTTGTTTTGTTTGGGGGGTCACACTCAGCTGTGCTCAGGGCTTACTCCTGACTCTGTACTCTGTACCCTGGCAGTGCTCAGGGGACCCTTAGGGATGCCGGGGATGGAACCCAGGTCAGCCATGTGCCAGGTGAATGCACTACCCACTGTACTGGCCTGTAGATGCTTTTGAGGCATGAAAGTGCAGGGAAGCTCTCCCTTCTGTGCTGGGGGGTTTGGCGCAGAAGACCGATTTCCACCCCACCCCACCCCCGGCCCTTTTGCCTGGAGTCCGGCGGGCATCGTAGCCAGGAGGAACGCTGACTTGCTCCCTCTATATTTCAGGCTCCGCCTTCTTCCCTGGGCGCTGTGCCGAGATCTTCGTCAGGGGCCAGAGCATCGGGAAGCTGGGAGTTCTGCATCCCGACGTCATCACCAAGTTTGAGCTCACCATGCCCTGCTCCTCCTTGGAAATCAACATCGAGCCCTTCCTGTGAGGCAGGGTCGTGGCCGTCTCTGTTAAGTGTCCCTGTCGTGGTTCGTGGTCGTGCCCGGGAGCATCGTCTGTGCTTTAGTGTGGAATAAAGTGAGAAGCATCGTCTGCCTCTGATGTGGTCACCCTCTCCTGCGTCGGCCGCTGGAATTGGGGTGGGTGGGGCTGGGGGTCACGGGGGATCTTGGAGGCAGCAGTTGGATCAGTCCTGGAAGTGAGACCCCACCGGCCCTTCCCACACCCCTCACTCTGCAGAGCGGGACCCTGTTTGTTCAGCAGATCAGGGAGCCCGGTGCTCTCAATGCTGAGGAATGAGTGTCTTTGCTGGCTCCACTTGTCACGTGCTCATCCTTGGACAGGGGTAAGGTAACTGGATTGTTAGAGAACCTTGCCTGTTAGAGAATCAAGACGAGCCCAGTAGTTACACTCTGATGTCATTCTGTTTTGTTTATTGGTCTTGGAGCCACACCCCACTATGCTCAGGGATCACACCTGGCAAGGCTCTGGGGACTCTGGTGGCGGGAATCTCATTGGGATCAGCCACATTCAAGGCAAGTACTTTACCCACTTAATTATCTTTTTACCCTTTGAAATTACTGGGCAATTTCAAAGGGTAAAAAGATCCCCCATCTTCCAGTATGTAGGCGTTACACCCACCAACTGCCCCCGGCGCAGTGTAATCCCATCAACAGCCAAGACCCAGAGACTATAAAACCTTGCTCCCGGAAGAGAACAGTGCAGTCTCCTGCCTCCGCGCCTGGCTCCCCTCACCGCGGCCCCTTGGAGGAGGGTGGGTTGAGTTTCCCTCCCCACCCTGAGCAGAGCCCTGGCAGCTGCAGACCTCTGGTTCCAGCCACATTTGTGCTTAAGACCACTCTCCACACGAGCCTCATGCATGAAGGAACTGGCAGAGGAACCCAGGTGTGCGGGACCCAGGGCGTAGATCTCCAAGCCTGCTCGGATTGGGACTGGGCCTCCTCCACCCAGATCCCCCATCATCCAGTATGTAGGCGTCACACCCGCCAACTGCCCCTGGCGCCGTGTAATCCCATCCATGGCCAAGACCCAGAGACTATAAAACCCTGCTCCCAGAAGCATCTTATTATCTAGGTCTTACTCTGGAGAACCTGGCAGGCTACCAAAAGTATCCTGTCCACATGGCAGAGTCTGGCAAACTCCCCGGGGCATATTCAATATGCCAAAAACCAGTAACAATGCTGGGTGTCATTCTCCTGACCCTGAAAGAGCCTCGAATGCGGCACTTTTGAAAATCCCAGGGCTAGGACGAAGGAGACGCTACTGGGGCCTGCTCGAGGCAATTGATGAACAACAGGATGACAGTGATACAGTGAAATTACTGGTGTTTTGTTTGTTTGGTTTTGTTTTGGACTCCACCCATCTGCGCTCAAGGCTTATTCCTGGCTCTGCACTCTGGGGTCCCTCCTGGTGATCGTGAGGGACCATATGAAGTGCTGGGGATCGAACCCAGGTTGGCTGCATGCAAGGCAAGCACCCTGCCCACTGTACTATCACTCCAGCCCTAATCATTTTACTTTTTGATAGTTTTGTTTTGGAGCCATACCCGGCTGTGCTCAACACTTATTCTTGGCTCTATGCTCAGGGATGACCCCTGGAGTGCTCAGGACACCTTCCGTGATCCCAGGTAACCAGCTGCTGCTTTACCCACTGCTCTGTCTCTTCGGTCCCTGAAGGTATCTTATTTGGGAGGAGGAGGGGTTTGGGCCATAATCAGCAGTGCTCAAGACTCTGCACTCAGGAATCACTTCTGGTGGGGCTCGGGGGACCATATGGGGTGCTGGCAAGTGACCCCAGGTCACCTGCGTGCAAGGCAAGTACCTGCCAGCTGTAACTACCTCCACCACCAAATTTTAAAATGAAAACAGTCACTGACCTCCCCCCCCCCCCCCCAAAAAAAAAGCAATTGCATTTATATTTATATTTGGTTCTTTTAACCATTTTGAGATTTTTATTGTCTGTGCCTCTTTGGCCAGAAGAGTTAAAAAGGACACATTGTATCAGTGCAGCATCACCTTTGGGAAGCAATGAAAAACTTCACCATCACATTATCCTGTTGTTCGTCGATTGCCTTGAGCAGGCACCAGTAACGTCTCCTTCCTCCTAGCCCTGAGATTTTAAAAGAACCATATTCAATGCTCTTTCAGGGCTAGGAGAATGAGACCCATTATTGTTACTGGTATTTGGCATATTGAGTACAACACGGGATGTTTGCCAGACTCTGCCATGCTGGCAGGATACTTTCGGTAGCCTGCCGGGTTCTCCAAAGTAAAAATGAGATAATAAGATGTCATGCAGCCACTAATGCGGCCGTGCGCTTCTCAAAGCTGGGTTTTATAGTCTCTGGGTCTTGGCCGTTGATGGGACCACCTGCCGCTGGCGGCAGCTGGTGGGTGTGACGCCTACCTGCTGAAAGATGTGTGTGTGGGGGGGGAATCTGGGTGGAGAAGGCCCAGTCCTTATCCGAGCAGGCTTGGAGATCTCAGCCCCGGGACCCGCATGTCTGGGTTCCTCTGCATGAGGCTTGTCCGGACGTGTGGAGAGTGGTCTCAGCATGGCTGTGGCTGGTTCTGGAGGTCTTTGACTGCCGGGGCTCTGCTCGGGGTGGGGAAGGAAACTCAACCCACCCCCGTCCAAGGGACCCCGGCAAGGACAGCCATGCATGGGGGCAGGAGACTCTGCCAATGAAAAACTTAGCGCTTAATAAAGATTGATATATACATATATATATACATAAATATATATGACAAAAGATTTGAATAAATATACCTCTAAAATAGAGGCATGAATGAGTGATAAGCACATGGGAAGATGTTCAACACTAGTCACTAGCAAAAAAGAACAAAAAAATTCAAAGCAAAACAACAACAGGGATTGAAGAGTAAAAATTAGATGGGTGATAGCAGGTGCTGGTGAGATGGGGTGGCTGGGACTTCCAGAACCTACTAGAGGGGGGGCAAGACTATATGGCCGCTGCAGGACACCAGGGCAAACCTGCACAAATGCTACTCTGTAGGTTCATGCAAATGACGCACCCCGAATGCCTCGGGATAACACACTTCACAGCCATGTTACAGTAGCTCCAACACAAGTTTCCACTGCAGGTGAACAATAAACCCTAGCATACACATGCGGTCACCTCAGCAACAAAAGCCCAGCAACAGGAAAGCATCTCATGACCCGATGTCCAGGGACAGGCTCATGTGCTGCCATCTCTATGAAGTTGTTGAAACACCAAAGGCCGATGGGCTGATGACAAGCTCGTAATGTCTAATTGATTGCAAATGGGTGAAAAGGAAACTCCCGGGGGTAACGGGATAGTCTGTCCCTCACTGACACGATGAGTGAGAGGCAGGCTCACATGGGTGCTAGGCAAAAAAATGGGTTCATGCCATGTGATGTGCTGGGCCTTGACTCAACACCTGCAGACACCCCAGGGTGCTCAGGATGCATCATTCAGCCTTGGCATGTCTGCTCCAAGGGGTTTGCAGGCCGCTGCATCGAGGGAGCTCTGAGCCCCTGGTTTCAGGTTCCCTGAGGTGGAACTGGGGCACGTGGATCATTTGGGAACCTTGCCTGCACCAAGCATCTAGCCGCTGTGTGTTTGGGGGGTGGTTGGAAATGGCTTGTGCTGGGAAGCCCGCCAATCTAAAGGTCCAGCCCGACTGTCCCGTGGATGCTCTGGCCCACTGAAGTCAGGAAACAGTAGGAAGGAAGAATCATCAGGGATCTGGGAGGAAGAGACAGACCTCAGCTTAGGAGGCGAGGCCCACGACTGGGCATCCTAGGTGTGTCCCGGGAGACATCTGGTGGGGGCCCACAACCATGGACCCTGTCACGGCCTTTCTGGGATAGTGGCCCTTCCCTGGAAAACCGGACAGAGCCCAGCATTCAGAGCGAGAGAAAACTGGCTTTTTTGGCTTACGGATCACTCGGTGGCCTGGACGCCTTGCTCTCAGGTTATATTTTTCACGTGCAGTCTTGGGTCAGCTTTTACGTGATTTTTTAGTTTAACAGTTTTTGGAAGTCGTTACACCAGAAATTCTCCCTGATCAAGTAGATGAGAAAACCTTTAGCGAGGTGAGTCATTTGCCCAATCGTCACATGGTTAATAAGTGGGTTTGAGATCCCTAGCAAGTGACTTGGAGTCAGGAAGGTAGATACAAGATCAATGTTTTGTGTCATTTACCGACTTCACCAAAATGGCATGTTAAACACTTGTCCCCCACAATGCCAGGGATCAAACCCAAACATCACGTATGCGATTCACATGCTGTACCTGGCCCCAGAAATTCTTTCTCTCTGTCTGTCCCTGTCTCTCTGTTTCTTTCCCTCTGTCTCTCTCTTTCTCTCTCTCTCTCTCTCTCTCTCTCTCTCTCTCTCTCTCTCTCTCTCTCTCTCTCTCTCTCTCTCTCTCTCTTTCTCTGCCTCTCTGTCATTTTTGGGCCACATCCGGCTATGCTCAGGACTTATTCCTGGCTCTGCACTCAAGAATCACTCCTGGCAGCCTGGGGGACCATATGGGTACCAGGAACTAAACCCAGGTTGGCCACATCTAACCTCTCTTTTTTTGTTTGTTTGTTTGTTTTAAAGCATTTCTTTTACAGTACTGGGGATCAAACCCAAGGCGTCACATGTGCAAGGCAAGTGCTCATATCACTGGGCTATTTCTCTGCCCCTTGACAAGTTTCTAAATGTTAAAAATACTGATACTGAGGACCAGAGCGATAGCTCAATGGGGGAGCACATGCTTTGCATGCAGGAGGCCCTCATCCAATCCCCGGCACCTCACGGTCCCCCCAACACGAACAGAACCGAGCCAGGAGTACCCCCTGACTACTGCAGTGTATGGTCCAGACTGAAACTCCCACCTTGAAAAATAGACATCCTTCCTAGCAGATGTGTTGGGCATTCCCATTTCTCGCAAGTTGTAACTTGTTACATCCTAAAAAGTTTTCAAATAACTTTATTGTCATCCCCAAAGATGAGGCAGAAGCTGGCAAACTGCCAATTCTAGGCAGCAGCATGCCCCTGGGTCAATGCTCCTTGGGG